TTTTTTTGACAAAACACACATGCCCCATCTATTCTGGTGGGTGGCAGTCCGGTTGTTTATCACCGGCAAGCATATGTACAAAAGAGAGGAAGACAAGGGAAAAGGCTTGTTCCTTGTGGCACTAGACACCAAAACAAGGGTGGAACTGGTAGGAGGAACCCTGCCCTCAAGCTTGGATACTCTTGGGGGTGCCCTTGCTGGCCGCGAAACTGAAGTAGTACCCAGACGCACAGCAGGGGTATCCTTCGGGGGGGGGGCAGGGGGGGGGGGGTCTTCCTAACAGTTCCACAGCCTACTTAGACCACATGATTTGCATAGCGTTCTCGAAGAATGAACTTACTTCCCATCCCATCGCGTAGGAGAATGTGTCCTTTCCAATTTCCTAGCCCGGTCCCCAAGTTTTAACTGAAATCACACTCCTACATGGTCCTACACATTCACTCCTGGTTCATTTCACTAAGACTTTTGGAATCTTGAAGAAAAGGAAAAAAACAAGGTCCTTTGGCCTGTTAACTCATCTGATTTCATAGAGTCATGATGCTCAAGGTCACTTTGGGTTCGTAAAGACTTATGATGCCCTGACCCAACGCTTTTATTGGTCAAGGATGAGGGAGGATATCCTCCAATACTTAGAGACTTGTGAGTTATGCCAAAGGAATAAGGTCCACAGACAACCCCCTATGGGGCTACTCAAACCATTGCCTATTCCAGATGGTCCAGGTGAGTCAGTGTCCATTGACTTTACTGATTTGGGCAAGACCACCCCTCATGCCATGAGACAGGTAATGGTATGTATTGATCGTTTTTCTAAGTTTGTTGAGTTTATTCCCTTACCTGTTGAGACCAAAGTTCCTCTGGTAAGAGAGATGTTTGCTGAGAGGTGTGTTAACGTCCATGGGTGCCCAACCTCTATTGTTAGTGACAGAGACCCTAGGTTTTGCAGCGATGAATGGCTGTCTTTTTGTAAAGACTACCTCCATTCCAGGTTAGACATAACGTCTAGCAGGCATCCTGAAGCCAATGGACAGGCTGAAGTGATGAACCAAGTCTTGTTTCAGTTGTCGCATCCTGTAATTACACCTGATCAACAGGATTGGGACAAACATTTGTCAAGGGCTCAACTTATGTATAATATTTCCGTTCATAGCACTACAGGCTTTACACCCTATAGGCTTCACTTTGCCAGGGGCCCAAGACAACCTCTTGACGATCTCATTGACAAAACTAAGCCTAAGCTAACTGCTGAGACTGCAAAGTTCACCAAGAGTTATGAGAAAGACCTAGAGAAAGTTAGAACAAACATGTTCAAGGCTCAGAAAAGGATGATAGAGCAGGCTAATAAGCATCGTTCTCCCTCTCCTATTCGACCTGGTCACTGGGTTTGGGTGAAAAGATCAGAATTAACTAATGAACAGGATATATCACGAAAGTTATTGTCTGTATACTATGGCCCATGGAAGGTATTTGATACCGTGGGAGCAGACCCTCTTGCGCCTCCTTATGTACTTGTTGTACTCTCACATATCAGGACCGATCCCATCTTCCATGCCTCAAAACTGCTGCCTTTCACTCTTGCTGACACGTTTCCTGATCGGCCACCGCAGTTTGGGCCTCCTATCCCTGGAAAGGGATACGAAGTCGAAAGCATTGAGGACCGATGGGGCACTGACCCCGACTGTGAATATCTTGTCAAGTTCCTCTTCCAACCTCATACTGAGAACCGTTGGTTTACAAGAAATGAACATCTAAAGTCTACCAATTATAGTTGTGCGGTTCTACGAGGCTGAACAAAGTGGGAAATTGCTCGGGATGCAATGAATTGCAGTGCTATAAGCGGGTTGTATACTAATTTTGTCCTTGGCGTCGTTGTCGAGACATGATGTCGTAACCTTTGTATGTTGTGTTGCCTGCTTGTTTGCTGTTTGTTTGTCTTGAGCCTTGCGGGACTTGATCCCGTGACCTGTAATCTGTGTTTTTTGTTTGTGAGTGTTGAGCCGCATGGGACTTTATCCCTGAGTCTGTTACTAGTAATCTCTGTTTGGTATTCCTAGGTCATTCGGTCTTTTCCTTTTGCTTTGTCATAGGTCCAGGTCCCCTTTCTCCCTGTTTCCATCTAAATATAGGTGAGTCTTGGCTTGTTGCTTAGGGAGTCCGTCGTAGGTCTAGGCAAAGGGTAGAGGTAGCGGGTAGGAAATTTGGGTAAGTTTTTTTTCTCGTTTTTCTACTGGGGAAACTATGCCTGCTCGTTGCCATAATGTTGCTGCGTTATTTTGAGCGAGGGCATCTTCTTCCTCGAAGCCCAGCCATACCTGGGGCTGGGACACGAAGTTAGAGATCGCACTGTTGCTATTCAGCAGCTCTGCACGAGAGCTTCACTAGGACTGTGTTGTTGGGTTCGGGCACTGCCTTTCTTCACTTGGCAGCCATATCTATTGTTCGCCTTATGAGGAACTTCGTTTTTCTCTTCTTCTAAGTGTGGGATTGGTTGTCGCCTTCTTCATCAGGACTTCCAGCGCTGCACTTCAGTACAGGCGCTGAGCTGGCGTTATTATCGTTAGGGTTGCTGGTTCAGGTTGGCACGTTGTGGGCATTTTTGGGGTTATTGTTGCTACAACAACCATAGCCATGGGTATGAGGTGACAAGGAGAAAGAAAAAGACTCCTGTAGACTTCAT